AATTTATGTAAAGGGGGAAAAGATAGCTTGAGTAGTTTTAGCAGTGAGTGAGGTATTGTTAGCCAATGTAGGTAACCAATCCTGAAGGCCTAGCACATTATGTTATAGTTTAAAGGCAACCAGGCTTATCACATTACGTTATAGTTTAGAGACAACTAGGCCTAGCATATTACATTATAGTTTAGAGGCAACCAGGCCTATCACATTACGTTATAGTTTAGAGGCAACCAGGCCTATCACATTATATTACAGTTTAGAGGCAACCAGGTCTATTACGTTACGTTACAGTTTAGAGGCAATTAGGCCTATCGCATTACATTTTAGTTTTAGTATTACTCTTCTTTTCTTTTCTTTATTATTATTTTACTCGTGAATAAACACAATATTTACAAATACACACTACTGGAAATCTGTTGAATCGTAACTCGTTGTGATAATATAAATACTTTGATAAATCATCTGCGTTAAAACTTTTAAACTATTGAAAGATTACTGTTCAATTAAAAAGAACAAACTGCTCGAACACCCCATCTAACTGTTGCAATTCGCAAGAATTGTACGTTAATAATAGCATATCAGTTTAGCATGTTCATCAGATATTCATTTTAGCACAATTTTTCTCAAATAAGCAGTATATTTTATTAGATAATCTACGCATATTTGCAAATCATAGAGGTACAAAAGATGTAAAATTTACGCTAATACTCTTGATAATTTTATTTCTAGAATAGCTAATTTTTCGCAAAAATATTCATGTGGATCTGTCTGATATTTTTTATAAATACCTGCCTATTTCCCTTTCATTTTGATCTACATTATAGGGTAAATAGTGAAGAACTTTAAATTGAACTACGCCACAAACGAATAGAACTCCTACCTTCTTATATGTTTGAAGCAAGAAAAAAAACCAAATTTCTCTTATGAATGGCATCTTATATACAGATATTTAGTTATTCCTTCAGTCTTTTTTTAGACAAAAATGTACTTTATAATATAGCTTATTTACATACTTATACATATGTGATCCTAGAGGGATTTAACAAATATTTCAATAAATTTTTATTAATAAAAAACTTTTCTCTTGCGTAAGGCCTCATAGCCAAGCATTTATAAAAAAATATTATTATTTCATTGCTTGAATATGTTGTTAGAGATATGGGAATATGAGAATGTACTAACTTTTTTCGTCTTTAGGTACAGGCGTCAGATAGGATCTTAATAATTTTCTTTTTTTAGAAATAAGAAGCATATACATAATATCATTTTCACAATTATTTCAGGCCTGTATTATTCCAATACGGGTTCTCTCTTCTAATTATACTAGCATTAATGGGTAATTCTTTTGGAAACTTTGCTGTAGAACTGATTGTAAAATATATAAAAGAGGTGTGGATTCACTTTTAGCTTCACTAGTGATAATCATACTAATAAATCATAAAAAATTACACAAAACTACCTGTGATCTAACATATCTGAACATATTTTTTTTCTACTTCACTCTGAAAATATATCTGCACTTGTCTTGCAAAACAATGCCTTGTGACATATCTTAGAAGACTTTATACCTTTTATTCTTCTTAGCGCATTTTTCTTGATTTATGTTATTAGAAACAAATTTTCCAATGACCTCCCTTCACATGATAATAAAATCGCTAATGAGCTTTCTGCACATATATCTAAAATTAATGTTAATCTCACTGTAGAAATCGAAAAAAATAAGACATATGGTGAAAGTATTACTGCGAAAATTGAAAAGATCTTTATTAAAATAAACAAAAAGTTTAGCACAGAAGTTAGTACTAAAATCACCAATAAATTTTCTGCACGTCTTTTTGAAGTTAATTCTACTTTCACTGCAGAGTTTGTCAGAAACAATAATGAACTTAATAAGAAACTTACTGGAAAAATCGCTAAAATCAATTCACGTGATGCTGGCTACGTCTCTGAGATGCAGAAAATTTTACCGTTGATCAATAACATAACTACGAAAGTTAATAATATCGAAGAAGCCTGTTGTAATGAATTTGACAGAATTAATGTTGTTATCAAAAATCTCCAAAATGAAATAAATCAACATTATGCAGTAGTTCAAAGAACTGAATTTGATCAACAGAGTATGACTAATGATTCTGAAGCTGAATTGGGAAAATCAGGAGACTCTACCTCAGCTTCAACTAATTCGTCTCCAAGCTCTTCTTCTTCTGGAAGTTCTAATTTATCTGGAATTTTAAATATTACTTCAGACATTAAAATTCACTTTAAACAATACTTTGATCGACTTATGGAGGCGAGGAATTATACTTTTGATGAGATATGCTTCTTGGTAGTAATTGATATTCGTAATCTTAGAGAAAATATTAAGATTTCAACAGTGAAAAATTTTTATAATGGTATTAGTGGTAGTAAAATTAGTACAATTAATCAGATAAACGCATGGGTAGCTAGTTTTAGGTAATGGGAGAGAACAGCCATTTTAAGACGGGTTGGGCTTAGCAGGCATTTATGCTTTATTCTCTATAATTTCTTTTTTTTTGTTCATTTTTACTTAGCTGAGCCTCTAGCTTTTCTTTCTCAATATAATTGTATTACTTTACAAAAAATACAATAAAGACCTTCACTTTGATTTTTAAAAACTGTAATGCATGTTTTATGGATAATAATACATGTGGAAATTTCATTATGTAATTTGACATCAGCCTGTCGCTCGAATGTGGAGCATTAGTTATCACATATGGCCAATTTTTATAGCTTTGCTCGAAAGTTCTGGCATATGTTTTTCATTACGCAATTTCGAATTATTAATAAAAAAACCATCCTTGAATTTGTATGTTGCACACTCGCCTACTATGATGATTAAATCAATGTATTATTCTATTAACGTTAGCATATCTAATATTACGCGTATACGCTATTATTCTGATTTTTTTTCCTTTTTACGAATACATAGAATAGGGGTTGCACATTTTCAATGTAATAGGAGTAATCACTACTATGCCATCGACCAGATCTTCGTGATGCGATCATCCAAAGGCATATTCCAAAAGCCCTGTCGATTCTACCTAGTGTAAATTATATAAAAAGGTGTCTACCATAATTAGTGAATATTTTATCGCCTTGTGTAAATGAAAAATTAAGCGAAACATTCAAACTTACCATAATTTACATCATCGATATTTACAATCAAACGAAATCGTATATTTCGCAAAGTAATAATAAAGTAAGTTGGTTTATTGTTCAGCTAGTTTCTCTAAACATGTCATTACGATGTTAATCAATTTTCCCGTCTCTTAGATGTTCCAAAATAAACCAGACATATTACTTCTTTTGGTATTCTTGTTATATATCAGTATTCTGATCTTCGCTGAGAAAATCTTTAACTATCATCATGTGTATAATAATAATAGGCGCGGTGAATAACTAGCAGTATCACGAAAATATATCTAATTGACTCCACGTGTCTCATCAGTGCAGTGTGGCTAACAAAATTTGGCGCAGTATATCAGGCATCTTCACATGATGTTTGGCAAAGTATCGAACTGACGATAAAAAAATCGAAATATTAGGTGTGAAATATTATTAAAACGAATTATAGCGGTAAGTGTGAATCGGAAGCCCTCACCTTGTTTTATTTTTTTTATCTCATTGCTAATCTAAGAATTATTCCTATAGATTCAAAATCATTTCATCTCAGGAAAATTCTCTTGTGGGAAATAATCTATTACATAGTCTGTGTAAGTAGGGTGATATAGATAGACGAAAATTCTGTATATATAAGTGGTATAATTTATTTCAGAATTCTAGTGTAGAGAAAGGTTATGGGGTGAGAATATTGTAGTTAGTAATAGATGTAGAAATAAATTATCTGTAATTATCTGAGAGCAAAGAAATAATTTGATGCTGGGACTCACATTAAATGGCTTAGGATTCGCGTACTCCCTCCCTCTTTGATAGCATCATATATTTCTCTCGCTAGCACTATCATTTTCTAATTCGTTATGTATCTGAAAAATCAATAAAATTTTACCTACTTCGGCCATTTACGTCGATATTAATTGTAACGCTAAAAATTTAGCTTTATACAATACCAAAAAATGTGATCGTAACATTATGACAAATTTACCTGTCATTTTTTTTTCAGCTACGTGATTTTTTGCCAGCATTACGGAATACTGTAGTAACTGTACTACGCGGGTGGTGATCACGTGAAGATAGAAAAGTAGATTTTATGATAAAAGCCACATTCTTGATCTTCCTAAAAATTATTCCTTCCAATATGACTCGCGTAGAAAGTAACCGCTTTAATAAGCGTTCACCAATAATTTGTTCTGCATACTTTCGTGAAACTCCTGCCAAAGATTACAGCTTCTTGGGTTTCTATCAATACCGTCAAAAGCAGCCTGATTTTACTTACTCGTTTCAAAAGAAGGCTCTTAAACTCAAGAACGATCTCAACGTACTAGTGAAAGGTGACTCAGAAGAAGTAAAAACGGCTGTAAGTGAATTATTACAAAAGTATAAGGCAAGTACATATATAATGTTTTTTTTTCCAAACGTGATTATGCGACTATGAAAGTCAAGTGCGTCTTGACTCTCTGATGATTTGCATATTCGTCATGTATCACAAGATTTCTCTTATGCACACAATTACGGTAGACAATTGCGTACTGTTTACCTTATGGTTTGCGTATCCATTGTGTGTCCGTTGTGGGCAACTTCCAAGTCATTGCCTTTTTTATTTTTTCATACCGTTCCTTCAATCACTATACTTACCTCTTGACTCCCAATTATGTAAGGCTCACCGCGAAAAATACAATGATGTCCGAATATTTTGGAATAAAATAGAATCTTCTACTGCCGATTCAGACTTACATTTGGATAAGGTTCACTAAATTACCATTTTTTTTTGAGTTCCTATTACAATTCAGACTTATATTGACTAAATATCCTGATTAGGTAAAAACGGCTCGAACAGTAATGCATAGCGTTGAGAGGTTGATCAAAACCGCCTTTAACGAAGTTGATAGTACACTGAAAACCGATGGAGGTTATGTCTCCAATAATGAACCGGTATATTTATATACGTTCTTTTTTTGTGCCACTTGCTTCTGCACCTATTCTCCTATAAAATACTCATCAAAAATCCTATTCACTACATCACTTATGAATGAATGCGAATTTCAAAGAATGAAAGAAAACGACCAGCTGAGGAAGCTTCTCTAATTATCACTCCTCCTCCTAAACTTCGCAGTTACGCTCACACTTTCTCTCCATGTTATAAAAGTGGCAATAATTCTTTTGACGATTACGATGAAGAATCGACCGAAGCATCAACTGATGTTTCTCCAGTAATTTTTTTTCACTTCACTCATACTTGGTTTTGTAATCTAAATCAAATTTCCGTACTGACATATCATATGCATTGTGATCTAGTTGAATTTAGCAAATGTTGATACTCCCGATTATGAGACTACAATTCGAGAATGTTCAAGTGATGAAATGGGCGAATCAAGTGTAATTATCTTTATTAAGGATTTATATTGAGATAACCTTGGATAATTTTTTCGCTCTTGCTATAACAATGTCATTAGGAAAATAATATTCCCAATGATAGTGATTTCAACGAAACAATAGAAATCAAACATGATGATCTAGAAGAATTAGAACGGCAGATAACATTTCGTTTATTAAATGAGGTATATCGTAGTAACTGAACTTTTGATTCCATTTATTGTATTTAAGCTATATTTTTGAATATTATTTTTATGTTTTAGTGGGAAGTAGGTACATTTAACGTGTCGAAAAAATTTAAGTTATATCAAAGACAGTTAATATTAAGCATTAGGCAGAAAGAAAAAAAGTTAACGTGGAATAATACATTCGAATTATTGCAAGTACTCCAAAAATATCTGTTGCATTTACTTGTGAAGATGTACTGAATTAATTTCTCTACTATATTTTAGGACCTTATCGTCAATAATTGTAATGTGCTGGCCTTGCCCCTACTCTACATTTACAAGTTCCGAATGGCGACAAGTCCTTAACTCAAATCCATATAAAATTATGCAACCTATTCTGACAGATTCACTCTTAACTGCATTCTATAAAGCGACAAATGATTTTTCACTCAGATTGAATTGTAGTTCGCTAGATGATAATAGTGAATTAAGTGATAAAGCTAGACGCATATTTGACTACATGTAAGCTATTGTATTACAAAAAACAAAGGAATTATCTATTGGAATAATAATAAATTTTATTATCTTTTCTCTAGTAAAAGCAAGATTCCACTGTCATCAAAACAGAAAGAAACCAAAACTAAGCACAGTATTTATAACTTAGACCCTTTTATAAAAATCATTTTTGGTGGAGAATACAAACCTTACACTCTGGAATTTAATAAGAGTGTAAATGAAAAACAAAGGCCAGACTTTAGCTGTGTAATTGATGACATCGCGATATTAAATTCTGAAATTAAGCCTTTGGGTTACACTCAGTATAGGAAAGACCAAGATTTCGTAAAAGTACATCTCAAAGGAAAGAAATCAATTAACCGGTTGCTAGAGAAGGGGGACCTAACAAATCAATGGCTTTTTTAAATATGGGTATATATCTATAATAATTATATACTTGCTGTTTCCGTAATGTTTTATTTACAAAATTCATTTGATAATATAGGAGATACCTACAAGGGAGACCGTCCCAAATAAGGAAATCGGTTACACAATTTATTAAAAATTTTTTTTATACAGTATATAATACTTTTTGAGGGATCATCCATCTGCATTTCTTCAAATAAAATGTGGGTAAGATTTCTAAGCGAATTTGAAGCTTTCTCACCGTATTATTATAGTATATATTGAATCCTTTTGAATCCTACAACCTTTATATTACTATTAACTGTTTAAAAACATGTTCAAGAGTAAGCATTGTATAGAATGCCAAGCCACCGAGTCGACCAAATTCCGTTCGTTAAAGGGAGAAAAATGGAGAGAAGTCATAAGGAACGATTTAATAAAAGTAAGTTGGGTAGAGGGTAGTATTTTTTGTAATATTTGTTACATGCGGCTTGTAGAAAACCCTTTAAAGAGAGGTACTAAGAGAGCAAAAGTTGCGAATGAAGAAACTATGAACGAAAATGTCTTAGACGTAGTTGAGGAAGAGGCAAGTACGAACGTTGACCTCACTCGAGCCATCAAAGCAATGGCAAAAATCCTTTACGAAAGAGAGCATATAAAGAAGGATAGTCCTATTTACGCATTTGACGAAATGCAAAGAATACTTCAGGAAATTGAACCGAACTTGGCTAATTTTTTTGATCAACTCTATTCAGCGGCTCGACCACTTAAATGCAATGAACAAATAATGGATCGTATGAAGAGATTAATGGTGCTCATATGCTATCTTCTCGCTTCATTGAATAATACTAAAATTAATTGTTTTAAGGTCGACCTTGCATACTACTTAGATTCAGTGGGTACAAGTAATGAAGGCCTGAACACAATGGCAAATATTGGCGTGTTTATCACGGCAAGAACAATAAATCATAGAAAGAAGAAGATGTCAGATACACATAGGGGATATGTCGAGAACTCTCTTGAAAAATATTCGGAAAACGCCCTTATATTAAATGTCGACGATTATCACAATATTCACGTTCAAAGACAAGCTGATACTACTAACACATCTTGGGCAGCCCACATGATCATGATCTTAGCTAATCCATGTTCTATTCTAGCGATTCCATGTAGCGAAGCAATCAATTTAAAGATCATTGATGACGAATTAATTTTAAGGCATATTGATAGATGATTCATTGTAAATCTTGGTATTCCTTACCATGATCATATACGAGATTATATGATAAGAGATTCTTCTGATGATGAGATTTTGATGGATAAACTAACGATACACAGTTACAATGATCAGCTGACGGAGAAAAGGAATAATCGTCATATACAAAACGCAATTCTTATTGATTTCGTCGAAAATAATTTGAAAAGCGTAAAAGATTATATGAAAGCTCTTCAAATTGTGAATGATCAACAACCAATGCAAGAGTATTTATCCAACTATATGATTCCCATTATTGCGGATTAGTCTGGTCAATTATTTATTTGAAAAGCTATTGCACATCGACTTCTCCTCAACGATGAAACTATTTCTCCGTTTGTTACATCGTTTCTGCCTATTATGGGCTCTCTTCATGTATTCTTGAATTTCCGCGAGCTTGTTTTTTTAAAAAATTCGTTTTTATTTAACGAATTTTACAAAAACATATTCGAAACACGTAAGAATCTTGGTGAAAGGCCACAACCATGGAGAATTGATCTAATTCTCTATATCGTACGCATGGCATAGTTTGATATTGTCGATACCGTTTATTTAAAGTTCGGTAACATATGTAAGAATATAGAATTTTTATATCTAATCGATTTACTAAGCAACTTGATTCCTTTAGTTCTTGATATCTACGTGGTGCATCATCAAGAGGGGAATTAGCTGGCCTATGAAGAATCTTGCATGCGTTGTTGGACTGATCTATTCCTTCAGTTTGATCGAAGGAATTACAAACATGCTCCATTAATGTTTTTTCAGATATTTTCCATTGGATGGAGATTAATCATCCGATGATAGGCATGTTTACTAATCATCTTGCTTCCCTTAGTGATTGTCCTGTAGAAATTGCTCACAGTATTATCCGACGACGCACTGCTAAATTCTTCACATCTGAACAATTGCAGAAAGAAGCACGCTTTATTTTTCAACATCGACAGAATAATGATTTTTGACAGCATTTTGTAGATTCCGTAAAATATTCATATCAACCAAAGCAATTACGAATGCTTTCTCAAAAATGCGCGATAGTGCTTTTAAATGCGTTTATGAGGATATATAATGCGCGTCATCAGTATCCTTTTATTAAATCTTCATCTAAAGACGGTATTAATACCTACAAATTGCCTTCATTAGGTTATGAAATAACCGATCGCCATCTTCCAAGAGGCTTTGTTACTTCCAGGAAATTAAATACAGCTATTTTATGTGACTATGTGTATTGTAATTCCACTAACGATTTGCTTAATAGTAGCATTCTGGCATGCGGACATGATTACCATAGTTTATGCTTGCAAAGGTGCCAGTTTAAATGTTTAATATGTATGAATTATCTTTAGGACGAAGTTAAGAAAAATGTCAATGTTCAGATGACAAGTTTTTTGAAGACGAAATTAAGTTCAGAAGAATTCATTTGAGAAGATAATGAAACTGAAATCAAAAATGATTTAGACAATGCGGAAGAGACAACGGATGATAATGTAGCAATGGAGGATTTATTAGAGAGTGCAAAGAAATCATTTATGGAATTATAATTTTTATTTTTTATCTTTAAATAAAGTCAATTAAATAATTTTTAAATCTTATAAGATTGGGCGTCTTATCTAACTATTAATGATTTATGCATTTGTGATATAATTTTACTGATTTATGTAACTCGCATCAGTTATAATAGTATTTTTTATTAGGTGTTACGTGATATAATTCACAATTTTGATTGGTTGACAAATCGGGAAATTTGTGTAACAGGGGACGGTCTCCCTTGGAAGGAGATACCATAGAATCATTTGTTATTGACTTAGCATATGACGGTGTATACAGATCATGGCCATGTTTTAAAAATAAGTTAACAACTGATAAGGGATCTTTTCCGCTGATTGTATTGACATTTTCCCATTTTGTAATGATAGAGGTAAACGGAATATTTTATTTTGATTTATTATAAAGTTTTATTTACAAATTCCATTGCACTTTATATTTGTAGCAACATGTTAATGAAATCATAAACGATTATGAAAATCGGCCACCACCGGATTCTTATACACCACCTGAACAAATTGAAAATGTGAAGTTTATTAGAAAAATGCTAACCACTCTACAACTCAAATTATTACTTAAACAATAAGATTTTTTTGCATACAATATATAGTTAATATAAACTAACTATTATATACTTTTTAATAATGAAATTGTTAAAGCACAATGGAAATAAAATTTGCCTATATAATATGATGCATCAGGAATAACTGAAATAATACTTGGCATTGTTTACGCGCATATGATGTTTCTAGATACTGTACATCACACGACGATTCTTTTGGTAATGACTTTTACATATCTAATTTTTAACCAATATACAATACTTATTTGTATGGATTGCTAAAAATCGCTTGCATAATTATGTTTGAGACAGGAAGATCAAATGAGTCAAGAAGATCAAGGTTGAGTAAACCAAAAAGTTCAGACACCTATGGGATCACTCACACGTTACCATATAATAGAGAAAAAACATCAGATTATAGAAATATTTCTGTATTTTTGCCAATCGCAGAAATTACATTCAGTTACTGTAATGCAATACATTTGGTGAGTGGTTTATTTTGAATAGTATTACATATTTTTGTGATAATTTACTCCCCTTGGAACATTTCTCAGAATCAATCCATCAAATTGGTTAGACAATTATGTATATGATTCCCTGAAATCTTTAGGAATTTTAATTTTTTGCGCAATGTAATAACCTCAAGTAGCAATTTGCCAATGAAGTGGTAACATATCCGGGTAATAAAGTCATTAAATGACTGTCCACTCGCATAATTCATAATCAGATAATATAGTTAGTTCATAATTCTTAGTAAAAACCGTTACCATTGGTAACGATCAAAGTCTTTGACATTTTTTTCCCATATGTGTGAAAAGACGAGGTAGCATCGATGTGGATGCAGATAAGGGTAGGGCAATAATAGGACGAGTTAAAACTTTTTCACTATCATCTTCTTGAGGTGACATTAAATATGTAGATAATTTACTATTACTACGCTACATTACTGCGCCTGTGACTTGCATGTCACGTATCGTAATGAAAAAAAATTCTCAAAAATTAATAAAATTCCCCCATATTAGATCTAGTGTTTTTTTTTAATCAATGTATGATATATGCAGATGAAGTACCTGAAAAATAAAATGATACATGCAAAGCATTTAAATCATGAAGATCTGCAAACTAATCTACATGTGTATGAATTAAATAATCTATGTTCTAAGATTCCTTTTAATCTTTTTTACCCCTGGTCTGCTTGTAATCAAATAAAAATGAATCTGATATTTTATTATAATATACTTGATACAAACATTATAAATTGCTATAAATCTCTTAATCGCTAAAATCATTAAATATGATATATTCTGATCCCTATATACATTGTCACTGGGTTCATTTTCGTTTATCTTAATGTCTAAGTTAAAAGGCTGCAGCAGCTGATTCTACACGTTAGAGTTTCTGATCTTAGGATTTTCTCTAAGTCCTACAGGTATCCGTTATACTAGAATCAACTCGGCAATTTATCACGTCTTAGAACTTAAGATATGTTAGTCGAACT